TCAGCCAATTACCATAATTGCAGTTGTACACTTATAAAAAGTTGGAATTGGCAAAAGTTGTGATTGACATATTTATATATAAACTTAGTTCCTTATGTATATAATGAATGTATATGAATATACATATACATGTATAACCTTATTGCTAAGTGCCACTGAGTCAGTTCCGACTCATAGTGACCACAGGGTTTCCAAGGAGCAGCTGGTGAGTTTGAACCACCGATCTTTCTGTTCAAACAGATCTTGAGGTCCAGTGCTTTATCCTACAGTGCCACACCAGGACTCCTTAAGTATATGTATAATCGTGGGTATGTATAACCTTGGTTATCCTTAATACAACCCTGGGTCCTTGGTTTAGGGATTTGGGGTCATGATTTCATGGAATATCCAGTTGATTGGTCTAATAATGTGTTCAATGCTGTTGTTCTACCTTCTAACTTGTTGCTTACTGACGGGGTTCTGAAAAAGTTTTCAAGAAGCTATTCAAGGTACAGTTGGTTTCTATTTACCTGGAGAACCAGACAAAGGAGGAAAGTCAAGAACAGGAGCAAGACATGGAAAGTGTGGCTAACTGGCTCCATGAACAGCTGGCTCCTTTGCTGTGAGACCAAAAAACTGGATCACTCTCTCATCTACAATCACTGAATATTTGATCAAAGATTCCTTAAAAGAATCCTGATCAAAAGAGGAAAAGTGCAGAACAGACTATCAAATTCTCATAGATTTCAGACTTTCTGGGGCCATGGAAACTGTTGCTTAAAATTATCTTTAAACCTGAAATCAAAAATCGCTTAAGTCAACATCTTAAAACCAAACAATAGTTCAGCTTAACTAATAAAGAATGCCTGCCTTGAGCATTGTGCTCCTTTATTATCTATAGGACATAGGACAGAGCTTCAAAGAGTTTGTGGAAAAATGGAACTAAAAGATAACAGAATTTTTCCACGAACTTAACTGAATCCCCTTCACACAGAATCAACTGAGAAGTGCAACTCAAAAGATTAGTTAAGAAACTTAGAGGGCTGTGAGTTTCTGTTAATGGGGGAGGAACAATACAGAAAGGGCGGGGAGAAGGGTTGCACAACTTCAAGA